AAACAGTCAGAAAGCTGCAACTTTGTGATGCACTGTTTGCTCTTTCATCCTTGCAGCCTTCCAAACCTTCGTGACCGGGAGGCCGCTCCCTCTTGACCTGCCAAAGGGAGTTTCATTCCCAGAGGTTCCTAACTAAGGGTAGGTCTGAGAGGCAGTGCGGCGACGGGGCTGTACGGCTGAAGCTAGCATTCCTGGCATTCCCAGCATTCTTGGCGTTCCTGATGGCCACATGGGGACGCCACACAGGGAAGGACCCCACCCCTTGTGCTAGGGTGGTGGTGGTGGTGGCCTTCAACACAGCCACCTCTGTCTCTGGAGCCCCCAGGCTGGGGGACCTCGTCTCAGCTCTCATCGGCTGGCTTTCCCGAGAGTTCTTCTTCTGCACTCTGCAACGTCCTTTTCTCTCCACCTCTGCAGGCACTGCTTCTTGTCAGGTCTCACGGCTGCTGGAGGTGGGTGGTGAGACAACGGCGGCCATAGCCAGAGACTTGTGGGTGCTGACAGAAACCAACCAGGAAAACACAGAGGATTCAAGATGGCCTGATTTTTTTTTTTTTTTTTTTTTTTAGTAATAGCTTTTGTAACTGAAGCCAGAAAGGGAGAAAATTGGTGATCTTGGCTAGGTCTAATGTGACTCAAGGCCCTTCTCGATGGATTGGTGTCTCTGCAAGGAAATCTATTATTTTCCATAAACTGTCTTAAACATCTCCCGGGCTGCATTTCTGGCTGTGTTAAGAATCAAGCCATCAAGAACAGCTGTGAATGTTATACACTTTCAGCAGCAGCAATGGGCTTTGCCAGGGAAGTAGGAGCAAAAAACCCAAGTAGGACATTTCAGTTGACAGTAATGGCATTTCCCCTTCCTTGTCCAAACGATAAAAGATTCATGCTCCTAATTGCAACACTATAGCTGCCCCCATCACTTTATTCTGGGAGAGGAGGTTAGAGAAAACAGGCCTAGAGAGAGGGAGAGAAAGAGAAAGAGAGAGAGATGGATCGTAATTTCGTCACTAGCTAACAGAAACTGATTAGTGCAGAAGACTTCCTTCCACAGCAATACTTTTTAATCAGGTCTGCTGTGTCTGGGCAAACAGCTTTTGTGGATTAGCTAGACTTGAGCCTGCCAGCGTCCACTGCAAGCTTAAACGATGAAATACACAACTACAGAGAAAACAAACCAAAAAGAGTAATAAAGTCATATTTCAATATTCAGCAACCATTAAGGGATTTAAATATTTGCTTGCTATTAAAGGCCTGCATTAGGCTCTTCCAACACCAGCTCTGGAAGACTGAAATATCAATTACGGATCAATTTTCCCCCTAAGTAAACACTAATGCAGGATAAACAGTATTAGAAGATGCAATCGTAACATTGCTGACTTCAGGAGGGACTTCCTGCTGGTAACAGCAAGTTTAAGCCTGGTGATTAATTAACCTGAGAAGATAGCACTTAAGGAAGATTTAAGGCGATCATGTCTGAAATATGACTGTGAGTCAGTGCACACTTGGAGGGCAGCTGGAGAAGTCCTGGGCCCTAGCACGCGCTGATTTGACCCTCAGTAGTAGTCTGCACTTGCCCCGGAATCACCGCCCCACAGCTCAACACCTCGAAGGATTAGGAGGGAGTGAAATGGGAGTCGAGAGTGGGCGTGCATGTGTGAGAGAGAAAGCAGTAGACATTAAGTCCGATTCCTTGTTGGAATTAATTCCATATTTAAATATGCAAGGCCCGAGTTGCATTTCTTAGCACTGACCACTAGGGGCACTAGACAGTTTATGTTCACTTTGAAGGAAAAATAAAAACATAAAAAACAAAACAAAATTTCCTGTGTACAGAACAGCCTGGAAACTGAGGATCAGAAGACTTGAAAATAGAAGATTCTTGCTTTCAAGTCTCAGTTTTGGGGTGCTCACATTATTCTTCTGCCTAATACCCTCTTTCTGGCATGTGTAATGATGGGGGTTGGGCGGTGATGTGGGGGCATTGAACACCGTGGCTCTTGCTGGAGACACATTTCACAGTTTTGAGATGAACACAAATAAGGCAAGGAATATGGTTTGAATCTTTCTAACACGCCATGCCTCATTCGGAAGGCCCCTCAGAATATATGCTAGCAATGGTGAAGCTTTGCTTAGCCATTACCAAAAATGTCATTCCCATGGGGAGAACAGGTATCCTGTCCTGGCAGGTCCTTGAGAATGATGGGACCAATAGCAGTAAACTCAGGGCTAGCTGGCTCATTTCCTCAAGGCCAACCTGAAAGCTATCTATATTGAGGGTGGGCGGACTTATAATTGTCAAGGTTTGAAATACAGAAGTGACCTCTTCAGACTGAATATAAAGTGAGACTCAGGCAACCAGATGCTTGGCTAGTCTCCCTGTAAGGAATTTCTACCTGCTGAGTGCCTACTTTGCACCTACCACTGACTTGAATATATTGGCCCCTAAGGTCTTTTGGATGACTGCCAAGAGTCCCTTCTTTTTCTCCTGTACAGTGGGTGAGGACATCCAAGTGCTTCATTTTGGAAATATTTCCAAACCATATATTTGTGGCTGTGGATACAAATTTCACTCTGAAGGAATCTGGCTGCTGAGTCTTCATGACTGAGGGCTGTGTATTTGGCATCCTGGCAAAAAAGTGTATTAGTCTTAGCCATAATTTTATAATTAAACAAAGTGCCTTCACGTAAGCAGGGTCTCTCTACCTGTAGCATGGTGACTGCGTGGCTGCTTTAAGGTTCTGGATGACAGAATCAAAGGAACATTTCTCCATGGAGTAAGTCCACAGCAGCACAAGAATTACATTTCAAGTAGACAGAGGACAGTGAAAGATTGCACCAATTAACACTCGCATATCACCTCGGGGTTCGGGTTGATGTATTTGGAGAATGCAAGCAGGCCAAAACATTTGTGGAAACTCTCCGGAGGAGAGGAGGCCCATTTTCACTCCCATACCAACGAAGGCCTGGGTAACTTATCAAGCTCCCGCTAAAGTGGATGCTTCTGGCGCCTTCTCATTTGCATACCCTGTGGCACTCAACCGCAGCTGTGCAGCAAGTCGCCACCTCCCATCTGCCTCAGTTCAATGAACTTCTTGGGTCCCTTTTTCGTAGGTTACAGCTGAATCTGGCGCCTCATGCCACAGACAAGGGGAGGGGCTTGGGGACACGAAACACACTGTGTGCCACATGGCCTGGACTAACTACACCAATGAATGGTGAGAAGGGCTCATTAAACACTCTAAGGCAAGCATCACAAGAGCATGGGGTGTCCATACGCACAGGAGCCCAAATAGCTCCCTCCACTTGAGTACCAACCACTTCTTGGTAGCCATGGGTAACCTTCTATCTTTTTAATTACCATCCGCCTCTATCCTGTATTATGACCAACATGTTACTCTGTGTCTGACACCTTATTTGCTAAGCACTTATTGCCTGTCTCATTTCTCTCTCCTAACAACCCTTACAGCGATCTCTACTGTACAGAGCAGGAGACCAAGGCCAGGCAAGTTGAGTAAGTTGCCCAAGGTTTCACAGCTAAGTGTCAGAGCAGGGATTTGAACCCAGGCAGTCTCTTAGCATGCTCTCCTGATCTCTACCGTCTGTCACCTATAGGGTCTGTTGACAGAGCTCTGATGACTTAGCGCTCCCCACTGCCCCCTGCCCTCTGGCAGAGGCTGGGAGAGGCCCCTGAAATCTTGACTCCTCTGCCTGGACTTGGAGATCAGCCACAAGATCATCCCACCCTATACACCTCATCTGATTTCACTTTATTCTTCCCGTGCCAATCAGCAGGCTGGCGCAGCTTACTGCCTGTTGTACTTTGGACTCGCATTCCCTCTTCACTAAACCATCCTTTAAGGTCTAGCTGGGGCCCCAGCTCCTCTAGGAAGCTGTCTTGTCATGCCAGCCTTCACGGATATCCCTTCTCCAAGAAATTCCCACAGCATTCTCTGGGCTCCTTAACTGTATTCAGTGTGGCCCCCATGGCTGAGGGTCATTTCACGTTTTCACGTGGGTGTAACTGATGCCCCGGTTAGCCTCCAGAGACCATCTTACACTTCTCTGTGTTTCTCACAAACAGCAGGTGCTCAATAACTGCATATCTATCTGGTTAGCTGATGTTTACTGAGACAGGCAAAGCCCAGGCCAGGATGGAGGAGGCTGAAATGAGATGCACAGCCTTTGGCTTTCTGGAGCTTACCTTTTTTCCCCCTGCTGAGCCTTCCCCGTTATCTGCCCAAAGGAGAAAAGGGGAACTTAGACACAGCTGGGTGAGTCGGGGGGAAGGGCAGTTTGGGGCTGCTCAAATATTATGTGTGCATTTGTAAGATCAGTCACCATGAAGTGTAGTCATCGCTCACTTCGGCCTGCAAGACAAGGAGGATGACAACAGACCGAATCCTGCGGTACACCCAGGCCTGGAAGTCTCAGCAGCACGAACAGTGAGAACAATCTTCCGTAGGCAGCCAAGCCAGTCCTCCGCAGATTATGTTGTCTTTCGGTTAAAGGAGAGAGAACTTGAAATGAAGAAGGCAGAATGAATTGTTAAGACACGAAATCCCAAAGTAAGAGACAGGTGGAGCAGCCAACACAGGAAAGTTGGTGCGGGTGGTGGGTGAAAAGAGGGAGAGGGAGGCAGGAGATGAATCCACAGGAGGGGCCTGTCCTGGCGGGCCCGCCACCGCATTGCGCGCACCTGCACAAATAGCTGAGTCAGCGCTGCCAGAGCACCTGGCCCACCTGTCCACGGAGAGGGGAGAAGGAGGAGGAGAGAGAAAGCGGTTCCAAGAAACCCAGCCGGCAGCATTTCCTAGCATCTACCGCCCGCGTTCTTGGCCCTGCGCAAGGTCCTAGGGAGGAAGCTGGACCAGGGGCCCATCTCTTCTCTGGCGCCGAGGTGTCCATAAGAAGTCCATAATGAGATTAAAGGATCACTTGGTAACATTAATTTTTTTTTTATTAAGAAGACAGATATTTTATAGTACTTCTTTTTTTTCTTTTTTTTTTGTAAAAATGGTATACATGAACCAATACAAAATGCGAATGGGAACATATGGATATGGAGTTTCTTACACTGTAACATTGTTCATGTACACCTCAGAAACAGAACTGGCCTAAAGGGAAAAATAAGACGTCGGTGTGACTAAAGAACAAGCTTATTTGGCATCAATTATACATCCTTCATTATTTTATATTCCTTTAAAAAACACAAAAAACAAGTTTGTTCTTTCTTCACTCTAAAAAAAGTGATCAACCTGTACAAAGTAATACTCAACAATACATTTCAAACAGTGCACTGTATACTTAAGAAAAAATACATAAACCAATATACAACTAAAATCCATAATTTCCTGTTTTTGCTTTGTTTTATTATTATTTTTTTTCCAATGCGTGGGGCCTACACTTTGCAATCTACCTGAGACGGAAAACACCAATCGAAACACATGAACCTGAGACATGTCAACATTGTAAGCCATAAAGTTACATCAGGAACACTGCACTACTGTACACTTTTCAAAACAGAAAGATGGGAGGTCCCAAAAACAAGACGCCAATTCTGTGAGCAATGGTACTTTTTTTTTTTTTTTCCTCCTAAAAAGAACAACGGAAAAAACCTTTCAACAACATGCTAAATGGTTCTCACCCTTTGATATGGTTAGACTATGGTCAGAATGGGTGCTAAGGGCTCGGAATAGAGCTGCACGTTATAAAATTCATTGAAAAAGGGATGTTCATTGTGGCTTTTTGTCTTGGTTAAGTGCCTAGGGATAGGAGAGGGGAGAACGAGATGCTGCTCGATATGGATTTTCTTTTACATACCAGTCCGTTCCCAAAAGGCCCCCATATTGCAATGGTTCTATCAAAGGTTAAAATAAAGACAAGAAAAATAAACACGCTTTCAAATAACAAAGAGTTGACACTTTTTTCCCCTTAAATAAATCAGCGTAAGTTTTCCACATAATGTAACAATAGTAAAAATGCACCTTGCAAAATCCAAAAGTACTCACTGAAAATGTTATATAATATATATTTATATATATATATAGATCTATCTTTTTTGATGCCATCTTTCCATAGGGACTGTATCCTGGAGTCTGGAGCCTTACCAAAACATATGGTAAGAGTTTAGTTTTCGTCCTTCAGGACTACTTCTAGATTTCCTAGATGTTTCAGTGAAAATCCCCACATTTCTTTAAAAAAAATGTAAATGGTAACTTGACTCCTCTACCTTTTCCCAAGGCTCCCCATTGAAGATATGTTCAAGGTAATTTATTTTAGTAGCTATGCACTATGGCTGCCATCATGCGAGGATCAGTAATTTTTTGGCAGATGGTTCTTAAGGCTGAGGAAAGAGGCCAAGGCTAGTGTATGAAAGGTAAAAAGATAAAAACACTCACATTTGAGTTTGATTAAGTAACTGAAAATCCCTACATGCTGTTTTTCCACCTCTGCTCTGACCTTTCGAGAACTGAGATCGATAGCAGACCAGTGTGAGAACAATACCGGCCCTTCTTTTGTCCCTCCTGCCTTTGTCAAGCCAAATCTGAAGGAATGAAAGTTTCACACAGATTCGAGTTGGAAATCCCAGCATGACAAATATCTGTAATATACAGTACATGCAGGCCACATCCTACTGCCTTCCTAACTAAGCACAAAGGAAAAAAAAAAAAAAACCCTGTCCCACTCAGTCATTCGCACACCACACGTACTTGCTTTTTCCTACAAATTAGTGAGAAGTAAGGCCGATTGGGAAAGGTGGATGGAATCATTTGGAACAGAAATAACCAGAGCAGAACTGTCTTTCCCCCCTCCCTACTTCCCCTCCTGTGGCAACTCAAATTTGTCCACTTATATAAAAGGAACAGGCCTCACCTGTCAGGTCTGTTTAGGGCATTGAAAAAGGAGGAGCCCTTTCCGCCCCAAACCTTTCTACAGTGTGGGGTATCTCTACTGAGCCGTCTACAGTTACAGAATTAAAGACAGATTCAATCTCATTGTGACACACCTCACTTGCAGATAACCCTGTACAGTAATGTAGTTCCACAGCAAACAGAACAGTTTCGGAATCACAGTCTAAGTTTCTAGTCTTCACTGCTCTAAGTATTTGAAACATGGGCAGCAGCAAAGAGTGCTCATTGTTTGTTCACCCAAATCTTTACGACAACAGAGAAGAATGCATTATGGATACACTAAATTCTGAACTATGAAATCTAAAGTGTGCTGGTTCTCCTTTTATGAAACTGAACTTTGAACAGAAAGCAGTTACTTCAAAGATAAACAGAAAAAGTCCAAACAATAACAAAATAAGGGGAAGAAAGATTCTAAGGAATCCCAGCAGGCAAATTCCAAAATGGGAGATTTTGGAAAAAATCCAAAATTTTTTGGGAAAAATAAATGCGCACAAAGGAAGAAAAAAAAAAAGGTAACACAACAAACAAACAAAAAACAAGGCACAGAATTTTCTGCAATCTATCCAAACTAAATCCAAGCATCCAAGTTTGACTTGGTAGGAAGAAATAAAAATTAAACAAACAAACCAACAAGAAAAAGAGGTGTCAAACAGCAGAGTGTACTTTTCAAAGAACATTTTTGTTACACAGCAAATCCCAAGCCTTCCCAGTCTCGCACCTTTCCACCCATTCATTAAAAAACACACGAATTTCTCGCAAGTTCCAATATCACTGTCTCTTTATCATCTAAATAGGGCCAGTTGGACACCTCATTGAAACAAAAAGGCTGATCTAGATGAAGTACTCTTTCTTTTCTTCAGAGTTGTTCTGTCCTCCTTCTGCATTGATTATAGCTGTGTCTGCGTCTGCTGCGTCATCGGCTCCTTTGGCTTCATGAGTGAAGTATGTACCTGAAAGATGAAGGGGTAAAGGACCGTGACTGTCTGATGGCCTCTGTGTAAAGTGGTACAGAGATGGCAACTTGCTTTATGGCCATCATCAGCCGAAGTGGTGTGCAGGCAGCAGAGGGGAAAAACAATTGGAAGAAGAGAGCGAGGTGGGTGAGACAAATGGGGATCCAGGGGTTCCAAAGGCACCACTCCAACTGAACCGCTGCGATATAATTCAGCAAATGAGACATTAGAGCAGTGATTATGACCAGAGGATGTCAGCAGAAGAAGACGTGAGTGGGAGCTAAAAATGCAGAAAGCTGGAGAGCTGCTGACTAACGTACACACAGTAAACGCCCAGGACCAATGACCAGATGTGTGCACGTACATGGGTAAAGACCAAAGCGAGGGAGAGCAATTAGCCAATAAATGAATTAGGGCCCTGATGATGTTCTATTGTCACCTCAAATCGTTTATCTGCACACTTGTCTCCTGCCTCCATGAATCGTTGCCTATCTGTAAGCGAGAATGTGCTTGAACTTGCACATGAATGCTTGATTTTTTTTCTGCCTTTCATTTCAGAGTGGGGTTCCAGATTGAGAAATAATTGGATATCACAACAGTCGTAATGAAGGCTTGGCATCTGCCTTAAGGAACAAGTGATTCTCGTTCATAATGTAACTCTAGACCGGACCCGGATTCATGGATTTGCTAATTGGCACAGCCACTTTATAATGACAATAGACAAAACGTTAAAGTTGGCGACACTCTTATCAGCAAGTCCCAAGAGTTTACATGGAGAAAGACAAGGACTGCACCTCAGTGTGATAAATAGGTAGAGTTTATACTGTCTATTATAACCAAATAACCCTCCTCCCATTATATGCTGCATTCTTGAAAATTCTTAGGTAAAAAAAGGCTGATACATTCACTGTATTTTTAGGTTTTCAAAGGGACAAATTTGAGAAAGCAGGCGGTCAAATGCTCCCCTCCCGTATCCTTTCCCCTGCAGCGTGTCCTTCTTCCCCTGGGTCTCCACAGCTGCTGCACAGACTTCCGCCCTGCTCTCTGGCCTCACCCTGCTGGCTTTATCAGCTCAACACCAAGAGGCTGGGAGTTCTCAGTCAAACAGACTGCCTCCTGGGCGTGGCGTGGACAGAGGGTACGCATGGTGCTGAGGGTCCCCAACTGTTTTACGCTCAAGATGGGCACTTGGGATCCTAACGGCAGCCGTCAAGTACCTCGGACCTCCACTGCTGTGCTCAAGGGAGCTTCCCCAAGCCCAGGTTCTACAATCAAGCAATATGCAAGCGCTACAGTTAATCCTATAGGAGAGCCCCGCAAGCTCATTGCACAGTGCTTGAGAAAAATAACTGAGAAAGACAAGGTCCGACAAAGAAAAGGAAGAATAAATTACCAAGAGGGGAGGAGAGGATCAGAGCAGCATGGGGCAGAGAGGAGGAGCGTTGGAAAAGATGATTGCCCATCCAGACTGCACAGTTGATAAGTGTGATGATTAATGGCAATTTAAATCAATTGCACTCATAATTCTAAAAATACATATTTATGTGGCTTTTAAGGCACATAAAACCAAGGAAGCAGTCTAGCTGCTGTGACCAGCTTCCCCAGAGTTTGGGGCCAGGGAGCAGAGCTAGCCCACCTGCTTCCCAGAAAACGGTAGGTTATGGGTGTGCTCTTTCCATGTTTATCATTTTGGGGTTCACACCACACCAGCCCCTATTTGTAAATTTTTACTCTATCCCCAATTATGGATTGTAGAATAACAAATCTAAAAAGCTTTATACTGAGAGAAAATCCAAATCAAAGAGTGCTACTCATCAGCTCTCAGAGTCCTAATCAGCAGCTGCTAAGATTTTTGTTTTTTTCTCTCCCCGTTTCAGAATTCAAAGAGGCTATGTGGCCACATAAACCAAATTCCCTATCAAGGACAACCTTATAAAGTCCCAAAATGTAGGGGCTGTGGTGACATGAGACCTCCTGCCTGCCAAAGCCCCTTGCTTACCTTTATGTCTGGCAAAATAGCGCCCCAGAATGATGAGCAAGCACAGCATGGCGAACACCACCACGGCCACGACGCCGCCAATCACGGCATGATCCACTGCCCTTATCGCGCCTTCTTCACCTGCTCGAGAATCTGTTGAAATCAGAAGAGGAATAGGGATGCAGAGCTCATTATAAGACACCAGAAGCCCTGGAGACACTGCTTCCAGGGTCAGGTCACCTTCTTTTTTAATGGAGGAGTCAGAGAGAACACTGAGATGGATCAAGTTACACCGAGGGAACAGACTACCTGTCCAGTGCTGAACTGATCTGTTCTCCCCACGAGGCCACTTCATTATAAGCAGCATAGGAGCGCTAATGCATGTGGAACAAGCTTAGGGAGCAGAGGGGAGAAATGGAGTCTATCCAGTCCTGACCTGGTCTTAGCGTTCACTCGATCTGTATCCAGTTGCAGATTCTATTAAGGAGGCAGACCTAACTATTTAAGGGCGTCGGAATGGCACCTTCAGGAGGTAACGGGAACTGTGGAGCGGAGGCTAGATGCCCAGCGACTTATTCCTTGCTAGGCATATGCATAGGAAAAGGAGCTCAAATGCCACTGCTGCCTGGAGATAAAACACGGATTAGAAGACTAAAGACAAGTGACATGCTTGCTACATTTAGGATGTATGAGGGAGGAAGCCTCAATCTAAAACCTAAAAACCTGTTTCAAGAAAGACAGCGAGGAATAACTGTCCATCGCCACAGTTTTTATTTTATTTATGTAACACTTCACAATGCAATTAATTTTCCTTTATAAGCATCACTCCCTCAGGGTGTCTTCTTCCAACTGAGGCACGACATGTTTGGCTGGGGAACAACTCCAAAATGGACCCAGAATGAGCTATGGCGATGCAGGATGGATGTATGGCAGTGTAAACAATTTTAATTTAGGAATGTGGCTACATCACCCCTTGCTGAAATTCTAATGGCACCCGAGATTTATAATGTAGTAAAAAACAATTATTCTCCCGCTGATTAATACATTAACATTTTGGAGTGGAAGCTAAACCATTGTCTTTTTTTTTATTGAGTCAAGTACGACACCTCCATTAAAATGATTTACTAGCTGTACCTTACAATTTAAGCACAGCAGCAACAGAAACGGTAAAAATCTTTTAACTTTACATGATTTGTGAAGTCATATGTGAAGGATTTACCATTTAAATCTTTCAGTACAAGCAGCACATGGCCTATAAATCTGTCCCCTTGCAGTTGCTGGACGCCTAAGAGAAATGCATTTCACCAGGAAGACTGAGAGTGCAAATTCAAGTCAATTTTTAAGAAAGATTTATCTCTGTCTCTCTCCAAAGAACAGAGCAAATCTCTGAAGCCTCCACCTCTAATAATATTTGAAGTTTATCGATCAAGTGTACAGATCCGTGACAGCTAAAGGTAATGGTGCTCTTTTGAGCCAAAACCTGATACAATGCTTTCAGCAGGAGGCCATGATTTACACTTTCTATCGATATTTCCAATTCTGCTCTGAGATTAAGTACTGAAGGATGTGGGGAAATAACTCGTGACTGAGGGGTCCATGAAAAGTGCTTTAATTAAAAGAGTTTAAACTAAAAATTGAAGTATTTAAAGTGTTTCATTAAGTTACCTTTGAAAGGACTACAAAAAACCCCCAAATCCAAACCCAAACAGAAATGCCAAATCAGAGGCAGCGGCAGGTCGCCCAGGACAACGGGATGATGGGAGTTTAATTGGAGAATGGAGATGGCGTGGAGGCAGAGAGCACTGCAGCCAATTAGCCCGCTCCGTGATGTGGGAGCCCCTCCAGCAACACGTCTAATAAGCTCGACTTGAAACGTGGTGGAGAGGAATCTCCCTCCTCAGCCAGAAGTGCTGCCTCCTGCAGATGCAACTGCCTCCGTGTCTTCCAAGTCATTTCCACAAGGCGGAACTCAGCCGTGGGAGGGGAGCGCTCCCCTCAGGGTGCCCCTGGACACGGGGTACCTGGAGGATAGCGCATTACACACTGGAGACTCTCACCCCAACTGCACAAATTCAAAATCGCTCACGGGGAAACGAAAGTAACAGAAAAGCCAGCAAGTTGTGTTTTCCTCCGGGAGCTGTCAAAATACAGGATCTTGTGGGAATGAGAATTAACTAATCTCCAACTGCCGTGAGCTTCAGACCTATTGAAAAATAAGGGTCTTTCCACTAACTCGATATGTCTTAGAATCGGGTGAGGAAAAAAGGTGATCGTAGCTATTGAGAAGAGGGAAAAGTGAGGGACAAGGGGTGAAGGCAGGTCCTGCCCCGGGAAGACTGAGAGCAGAGGGAGGCTTTGAGAAGCTGTCCCAGGCACAGACCTAACCCCTGGGGGAAGGCACTCTCATGTCCACTGTTAAAAGACTGCCTGCCTCCTCCATGCCTAGGCAACAGGAATGTTCTAGAAGCCTAAGAAGAGAAAGCGAGAGAGAGCAAGCAGCTCTGTGATAAAGAAAAACAAATAAACAGAACCTCACAGGGCATGTGTCTGTGGTGTTAATTTCTCCAGCCAAAACTATTCCTTTGACCTTTGCTCCCCATGAACTTACAGCTAAATATGCTCGGTGCTGCTCTTTTCCCCTGCACTTTGCCCACATTAAATACCTGGGTTCTAGCTATCTTCCCTGCCCTCAAGGACATACATATTTTACAGATACTTATTTATAAGGGTAATCTCTCCAGCTATCTTCTGGTACTCACTTTGATCAGAAAGTTTACTACCACCAGTTAATCACTGAGACGTTTTCCCTGCCTTCATTTACTGCAGATGGACACAGAAGGTAAGCGATGTTTAATTTACAGGGAACGTTGCCGGTTGCAGGCTCCTTGCCGCCTCTTGCCACCTCCAGCCCACCCCCGGGTTTACCGAGGGAGGTACTGATGGAGTTGTGGCCGTCCACCGGTGCCTCTGTCACGGCTTGGCCCCCCATGAACAGCAGCGCTGTTCCCAGACTCATCTCAGTCCTTTCTCGTTCTCGCGTGTGGGTGGGCGGGCGAGGTTTACAGTGCTACTGGCTGGCCCAAGCTGGTGGGGGCAGGGTGTAAGCTGGTTGCCTACTGCTGGAGCAGAACTGCCTGCACTGCGGGCTGGGCCTCACTCAGCACCAAGCGACAGCTCAAGAACTTACACCAACAGGCACCGGGCTAACGGGGTAGGACGAAGACTGGGACCCGAAGAAAATATCCACCACCAAAAGGAGCACGGCCCCAACCAAGTCTGTCGCCACTTGGCCCTTCCTGTTTCGCTCACAAAGCAAGAGCTCTGGCCAGTTCCCTGAGAAATTACTTCTAAGTGAAAAATTTGGGTAAGTCTATGACTTGCACCATCACCCAAAGATCCTGCTCCTCGTGGGGTGCAGACCCTCGCACTCAGGTCCTGCGAACTTTCCTAGGGACATCCTCTCCAGATTTTCGGGTCCTTCCCTAAATTAGAGAAGGAAACCAAAGAGCCAGACTCTACAGCTTCCCCCAGCTTCTACACTGAAGAATAAATGTATGCACGTAAAGCACTTATCAACATGCCGGATCCTCAGGCAAGTGGACAGCTCTTCAGTTGAGAAGGTAATGTTTTCTTGTTCTCTAAGAGACTACAATTGTTCCTCTCACTTAGTAACAGGTGTAAGCGTGTTCATAGTTCTGGGACTAAGCTTTGCCCCATCACCCTGAAGTAAAGGCATGTTTCTGCTTGTTGTGTGCTTATGGTATAAAGGTTATTGTAGCCTTGAAGAAGCAAGCATGTGTGGGTGACACGGTCCGACTGAAGTGAAGAATGTCGTCCAAATCATTTCACGTGTGACCTCAAGTAACTCAGGCCTAGTTGTTCCATAAGTCTCACTTTTAGGTGCACTTTGTAAATGTTGGGAAGTGTTCATGACAACTCATAGTTGTGGCATGGTCCTTCCTGCCTACACTGTCCCATCCTGCAGCCGTGTCTCTGGCTCTAAGGGTGACATGAGTCTCTTTAAGGATAGATCAATGATGAACTGTTTAGTATTCGTGAGTTAGCTTTTCTTTTGGCAAAAAGCTGGAACAACTTGGCTCCAGGTGAGAGTTTACAAGCTGCTTGCAGAATGTTAAGTTGGCTACTACTGCTTGGGTCATAGCTTCAACCACCCTGAGTTTGCGTTAGCATCTTAGAAACTGCAAGGACAAAAATATTTCAAAGAACTCCCAAGAGCGAGGCCCCAGACTGCTCAGATTTCTTTACCTTGGGCCAGGTAACCTGGCCCGATCCATTGCTCATGGGCCATATGAAGGGGGGATTTTTTTTTTTTTTAATAATTTTATTTATTTATTTATTTTCCCCCCAAAGCCCCAGTAGATAGTTGTATGTCATAATTGCACATTCTTCTAGTTGCTGTATGTGGGACGCGGCCTCAGCATGGCCGGAGAAGCACTGCGTCTGTGCACACCCAAATCCGAATCCGGGCTGCCTGCATCGGAGCGCACGCACTTAACCGCTAAGCCACGGGGCCGGCCCTGAAGGGGGCAGTTTTTTGTTTTTTTTTTTTAAAGATTTTATTTATTTATTTTTTCCCCCAAAGCCCCAGCAGATAGTTGTATGTCATAGCTGCACATCCTTCTAGTTGCTGTATGTGGGACGCGGCCTCAGCATGGCCGGAGAAGCGGTGCGTCGGTGCACGCCCGGGATCCGAACCCGGGCTGCCAGCAGTGGAGTGCGTGCACTTAACCGCTAAGCCACCGGGCCGGAGGGGGCAGTTCTAAAGGCAGTAGTTCTCTAGGGCCAGACAAGAAAAGCGATTGCTAGTGGAGTCAGTCTCCTTCCCCTCCCTCTAGGGGCCTCCTCTTTCTCTGCTTTCCTGCCTCAAATTACTTGCCAGAGTTGTCCTTAATGCAGTGCTCTGGCAATCATGCTGCCTGTGTTAAAATAGGGCTCTGCAACGGATCCCGTTTCTACGGCTACTTTACCGCCTGGCGTGGGACGCGAAACAGAAATTGCCAAGCGAACGCCTTAATCGTGGATCTGTGATAAGCCTAAATGGCTCTCTGCCAAAGGCAGGGATCCACAGGTAGCCAGGGAATGGCCAGTATATCCTAGACATGCTCCTGGCAAATAGGGACCTTGGCAGAGGA